GAAACCAGTCTGGGCACCACAGGAAGACCCTGTATACAAAAAATGAAAAATTAGTCTGGCATGGTGGTGCACGCCTGTAGTCCCAGCTACTAAGGAGGCTGAGGTGGGAGGCTGCTTGAGCCTGTGAGGTCAAAGCTGCAGTGAGCCATGATCATACCACCGCACCGCTGCACTCCAGCCTGGGCCACAGAGCGAGACCCTGTCTCAAGAAAAACAAACAAACAAACAAACAAACAATTTAACAGATATAGTCCTGAAACTATTATATGGAATACTATTGTCTACATCACATCACATCAGCCCTTTAAATGGCTTAACACTTATTTAGGTTTCATCCATAAAGTTTTCCTGGTAATTAAGTATACTTAAGAACGATTAAGTAAAAATGAGTTACTGCTTGACAGGAAGATTGCAAAATTTTTAAAAAGGCAAATAAATAAAAGAGTCAAAACTGTAGCTCTGTGAGGCCCAAATAACATCTAATTCAAGTGACAATGAACATCTAGCAATCATTCTGAACACCATATAATTCACTTAATACATTTTGCTTGAACACCCAACAAATCTGACTTACCAACACCTGTATGTAGCCAAGAAATTGACAATTATTTATAAATTATCACCAATGACTCCATCTGCTCTACCGACTTTAAAAAAAAAATTATGTATTTATAATTTGTAATATTTTCTAGAGACAGGATCTCACTATGTTGCCCAGGTTGGCCCAGAAACAGACCCACACAAATTTCATAAATCAAATGAACAGACTCATCCAATTTATAAAAAGAACTGACATACAGTACAGAAGGACAAGGATGGTCTTTTCAATACATGGTGCTGGACCAAGCAGTCACATCCATGTAATAAAAGGTGGATCATGGCTGGGTGGGGTGGCTCACACCTGTAATCCCAGCACCCTTGGAGGCTGAAGCAGGTAGACTACTTGAGCCAAAGGGTTAGAGGCCAACCTGGGAAAATGCTGAATCCCCATCTCTATAAAAAATACAAAAATTAGCCAGGAATGGTGGCACACACCTATAGTTGCAGCTATTCCAAAGGCTGAGGTGGGAGGGTTGCTTGAGCCAGTAGTTGAAGGTTGCAGTGAGCTGAGATTATGCCACTGCACTCCAGCCTGGGTAATAGCGTGAGGCCTTGCCTGAAAAGAAAAAAAAAAATGCATGAACTAAAATAAAATTGCTATAAGGTTAACACAGAAAAATGTGTTCATTTTCTTAGGTTAGGCATTGATTTCTTAAACAGGACACAGAAAGCAGTAACCATAAAGGAAAAGATTGATAAAGTATAATTTATTTAAAATTCAGAAACATGCCGGG